AGAGGAAGACTGCACTGGCAGTATAATAGCTGTTTGCTTTAGTCCAGTTAAAGCATTCTTTGGTCGGAGCTAGTCATTCTGGTCTCCCTAACATTTTTTTCAGAAATGTCAGAATTAAAATTCTAGATTGTTTCTATATTCGCTCCTATGAAAGGCAGAGGCACTCGAAAGTATTCCCTGATAAAAGAAAACATGGCTTACGAGGCTGCCGATGATTCTTTCTTTCAAGTTCTGTTTAGAAGAAAGCTGATGGCAAGTTTGACTTCCTGGCATGCGCCAGTGCCAATTTACCATCCAAACACATAGAAAAATTGTAGAGAAATTGGTTGTCTCACTGATGGAATCGAACTCCTGGCCTACTATATAACAGCAGTGTTATTGTCCGCCAAGCTTTTTTTTTGTGATTTGTTAGAAAAATGCATCAAATTATTCGGAATTAAACCACTCTTTTCGTTTATTTTCCTGGAATCCCACAGAACTGATGTTACAGCTTTTGCAGCTGGAAACAATGTTATCAACTTGGTATAAAAAGCTAATCTAGAAGATTTGCCTGTAAATTTGTCCAAAACTTCCTTGTCCAATTTTTTCTTCCACTACAAAACGATCGGCAATCACGTCATCTATGCTCAGCAGATCGGCTTGGTCGTCCACTTTTTCTTAACATTTTTGTTCATCTTTTCGCATATTCTTAAGCTTTTAAACTCTCGTATTTTTCAGTTTTCTGTCTTTTGGATTTCATAAAAACTTTTATTTTTTGAGTCTAAAAAACGAATAAGAGCAAAAATAAAGTTTTCTAATATTTGTTCATTGCTAAGAAATATTTAAGGTTTTAAAAAGTTTCAGCAAATTGATTTTAATACAACTGAAACTAAGGTACTCAGTTAAAAAATCGTCCGCCTAGCATCCCCTCAGAAGATGAAGCATTCAGGACTATCAGCAGACTGACCAGTAGACGATGGAGCATTGGTCAAAGCAACTGAAAAGGTTGCCAGCTGTACCGTTGGGGAATCAAAGATGATGGCGAATGCAGCTGACCAAAGTATCATAGTAATTTTTCGATTTCTTCTCATATCTCCAGCCGTGTACTGCCCAACAGCAGCAAAAATTCCCTCGTGAAATTCTTTCGCTCAAAATAGTGCTTAAACGTGAAAACTGCAATAAACCTGGCACATTGGCTTTCACAGTGCTCTGTTGGATGCCACTTAAAGCGTACGCCGACATGGTTGTACCGTCCTATTTTTTGCCACTTGGCTACCGCTCTCAACAATATCAAATTGTAGAAACTGTCCACAAACTCGTTATCAGCTTTTTTATACCTCTCTAACCTCTTCTTACGTCAGAAAATTTAAATAATATGCAAATTTTGAGTTATAACCAAAATGTCGTTTACAGAAGAAAAGCTCAGGCTGGAATACACCTCGCTTGCTGGTGCAATCAAGGATTTTTGCACCGAATTTGAAGCAGTCAGGTCGTTAGCTGTATGAGTGGTTGTTGCTTTACGTGTTTACCTTCTGTATTCATTAGTGTAAAATATCGAATTTTTTACATAAAGGAAAATGAACAATTTCCGTTTAACGAACGTTTTTTATGCATCTTTGCACTCATGCAAATGAAAAAGTGCGTATTTTGATGATCCACGGTGTATGTGTGCGTGCATATTATATGTGTATGTTTGTTTTGTCCTAAGCAGATCCACAGTCTGGTGTTTGCTCTCTTTTTTCAAAATGTTAGTTTATACAGAAAATCTTGCTTCAATACTTTATTTAGCGTCTGTTCTGTTGTTGTACGTTTAAAAACTTTGTTACACAGTCTGTAGTACCAAAAAAATAAGACCGGATGGTTGAAATACCTCATTAAGAAAAAACAGCCCAGTATCATACTAGCAAATTTTTACTGGATTGAGCGGTTGAAACTGTTCCCGTATGTTTTTGACACTTCCCTCGTTTGTTTCTGACATACAGAAACCATCTGAAACACATCGCTGGTTGGTGCAGACGATTACGGTAATTTCCCTTGCGATGAAGGTCGTTTTTTTGCGTTTTTTTTGCCTCTACGCAATGCAGAAAACGCACCTTGACCAGGGGTTGTGTGTGTGTGTGTGTGTGTCTACTTGTGCTTCTGTACCGATTTTTCATCTCAAGACCTATAAAAGCTACAGGGCTGAAACTTTGGAAACTTAATCT